GGGGGGCCAGCGGGTGCAGGGGCTGGCCATCCCGTGGCGGCTCATCACCACGGCCAGCTGGACGAGCGACTGGCTCTAGCTGCTGACCCGATGGTCCGGTTGCAGATGGCTGGCATTTCGCCCGAATATCATGCTCACACTCATGCGCATACGCATGCGCATACGCACTTACACTTACATCCGGGACAGCAGCAGGCCCAGCAACAGGCTCAGCAACAGCAGGAAGCGGCTGCGGCTGCAGCTGGATTCCCCCTGCCTGGTAGGTCCTAACAATCAGGATGTTTGAGTACGCTCCATGCACGATGATCGATCCTTTCACCGACTAGCCACGCTTTCGAAATCAACTAATTCCATCTTACTTGTTACACTTGTCGTTCGTCATATCCGATTCTGCTCGATCTACGTGATATCGTACCGTTTCATTTATTTTCGATTCGAAACTGTCGAAAATCCGAGACGTTATTCCACTTTCGGATTTTGTCGACAAGAGTATTCGCAGCTTCACAGATTACTACGTGTCTCCGTGTTGTACGCTCGGATGCAACGTAGCATTCTTTTTGCTTTTCGAACAAACCACCGAGAATCAAAGAGCAGATTCCTAGATTCTAAGCTTTCTACGCCGTAGACAGCTGTTAGATTCTAGGATCTAGGATATTCCAATTGTAGGCCTATAGACTCTCCGAACGTGGCCAAGCCGCAACGCTACTCGGATCGCTGGGAAAAGCTCGAGTTATACCGAAACGAGTGCTTCTTAATTAAGGGATCATTCGGGTTGCAGCCGAGTGTACAGCCTGGAGCTTTCACTGTACGTGTACACGGTGTCGCGACTTTGTCGAGAACTCGTGATCTGTCGTTCGAATTTTACGTCGAATATGTGATCGGTCAAGCGGTCGATCGCGTGTAAGCGTACTATCACGTGTTTCTTCGTTTCATCTCTTTTCGATGCGTCGCGTCGGTCGTACTAATTAAATAGAAAACCGTTGTAATTGCCATTCGTAAGCTCATCTTTTTCTTTCGACGAAAATGGAAAAACCAAGAAACAAATGTTTTTTTTTTCTTTCTTTATTTTTGCATTTTTCTGTCGCTTTTCTCGCTATGCCATTAATTAACTTGCAAATCGGAGCTTAACGATCATGGAGCGCAGCTTCTGGGTGAAGGTACGATCTCTCTCTCTCTCTCTCTCTCTCTCTCTCTCTCTCTCTCTCTCTCTCTCTCGCTCTCTCTCTCTCTCTCTCTCTCTCGCTCTCTCTCTCTCTCTCTCTCTCTCGCTCTCTCTCTCTCTCTCTCTCTCTCGCTCTCTCTCTCTCTCTCTCTCTCTCGCTCTCTCTCTCTCTCTCTCTCTCTCGCTCTCTCTCTCTCTCTCTCTCTCTCGCTCTCTCTCTCTCTCTCTCTCTCTCGCTCTCTCTCTCTCTCTCTCTCTCTCGCTCTCTCTCTCTCTCTCTCTCTCTCGCTCTCTCTCTCTCTCTCTCTCTCTCGCTCTCTCTCTCTCTCTCTCTCTCTCGCTCTCTCTCTCTCTCTCTCTCTCTCGCTCTCTCTCTCTCTCTCTCTCTCTCTCTCTCTCTCTCTCTCTCTCTCTCTCTCTCTCTCTCTCTCTCTCTCTCTCTCTCTCTCTCTCTCTCTCTCTCTCTCTCTCTCTCTCTCTCTCTCTCTCTCTCTCTCTCTCTCTCTCTCTCTCTCTCTCTCTCTCTCTCTCTCTCTCTCTCTCTCTCTCTCTCTCTCTCTCTCTCTCTCTCTCTCTCTCTCTCTCTCTCTCTCTCTCTCTCTCTCTCTCTCTCTCTCTCTCTCTCTCTCTCTCTCTCTCTCTCTCTCGCGCGCGCGGTAAAGATTCTATACGAGTTTTCGATAGCAGAGGGTGAATTACTTTTTAAGTGAACAGTGCAGCAGTATGATTGTGTGCGTGTACGCGCGTGGATGGAAACGATACGATGTTTTGCCTGTACTAGCACAAAAGTACTTTCGTATTACGTCACTCGATATAATACGAAGAATTTTCGCGTCACGATTATCTATGTTACGATCGGACATTTCGTATTATCGGTGTCATCGTATTATTCTTTTGTAACATACGATCATCAGCCTCGATCTAGTCTATTCAAAATCGCTTATACACCCAAGGCTGTCACGATTGCTTGCGAAACGGTAACACCGAACGCGTGTTTTCTTTCGTACCGATATTATACCCTGCACTTCGATGTCATAAATTGCTCGTCGTTAGCTGCCGGTGACAACCAACTATTTTGTGCTAAGAAGTTCCAGCTTCGAATTGATACGGCATAAGCGCTACTTGTTAATATTTTTAACGACAGAAATAGTTGAAAAGATTGCCTTGGGTGATCGACGATTAATTGTCTGCAGACTATATGTAGAGCGAAAATGTTGTTACATCATGGTCCCGTGTAACTTACGCTTCCACTCGTTAAAAAGGAAGATACAAGTACTTTGCGTCCAGGAAATCCGGGAAATCCGGGAAATCCGGGAAATCCGGGAAGCGAGTGTCCATCTCGGAACCTTGGAATTTTTCGATCAAGGATAAACGTGGGTAGAACGAACTCGGAGAGTATCCGATGAAAAGTTTAACCAAAATTTGGGGGAGAACGAGGGAGAACGAGGTTCTAGGAAGCTCCTACGGGAGCTTTGGAATTTTAAATGAAACGCTACGCTTCCTTTTAACCAAAGTAATGATAAGTTGCGCGTGACCATATATACGATGTTCGTCCAAATTAAGTTTGACACGCTTCGTCATGCATGCCCGCCCGCCTATGCGTTAATCTCCGAAGCTTCGTATTATTCTCCTTGCAAACCTTTCATCCTATTTACGATCGACTAACGGTTTCTTATGTGTACAGCGGCAGCCGGTGCAAATTATCCGCGACCTGGCTTGATGCCACGTGATCCAGCGCTGGCTCTTCATCCCGCCGAACTTCTCGGAAGACCGTACGCTGACATGGCGGCTCATCACGAGCAATTACAACGTCATCTAATGATGGAACGCGACCGATTTCCTCCTCACGCATCGCTCGTAGCACACCACGAGGAGTATCTAAGGTTCGTCCTTTGAAAATCCATAAAAACGATACTATGCATTACGTATGCTTGCATTAGACGACGACCGTATCCGACTAACAAAGGGTGTTTTTTAGACAACAGCGCGAGCGTGAGCTTAAAGTTCGCGCACTGGAAGAAGCTGCACGTGGATCACGCCCTTAAGTATCGTTGTAATTTATATATATGTGTGCGAGAGAGTGTGTGTGCGAGCGCGCGCGTGTCTGTGTATATGTATACATACATACATACATGCACATATTAAGAATGATTATCCTTCAGAATTAGGATCTCGTTCTAGATCGTGTGTTTTGACGACACGCTGTTTTCAAAGTAACAATGGTGCAAAGACAGATACAAACATATATATGAAGGGAGAGAGAAAGATTTGCCCACAAAAGATTACATTCGTTAACCTTACGTTCAGATTGAGAAATTATTTTTACGTAGTCTCCCTTAGAGCTAAGTAATAGTAGTAAGGTGGGGAAAAACGTAAAGATCGTTACGTTACGTCTAACTTTTTAGTGTAAATACACAAAGTTTAAACCATACTGCTACGTGAAAGATGACTCGTTTAACACCGTAGAGAACTATAAAGTATATATATATATACATCTCGATCCCTTTACACGTAAATTTATTTGGAATCTCTTCCCCCCTCTCTCTCTCTCTCTCTCTCTCTCTCTCTCTCATATATACATATATATTAATTATAGTATTTACAAACTCAAAATATTACCATACGTTTGATTGTTCTTTCGTTCTTTTTCAAAAGGTGATAATGCCAAAGTGTTCAAAAGGAAAGTGATTATCCTAGAGAGTAGATTATTCTCTTTTCTTCGTTTTACTTATTGGATATCATAGGATTAAACGAACACGAAATACTAATTTCGAATATTGTTTAGAACAGTGATAGACAACTACGCGTACGAAGTGACGCACACCCGTGGGCACCGTTACAAATTTCATATTTCTATATTTATAAAATAATGAATTTTTCAATCTACCGAATCCCTTAATTTCTATATTTCCAAATCCCGAAAGTCCTGAATTTCCGAGTTGCTAAATTCGATAGTTCGACATCTAATCTAATTAGTGAGCACTTTGGCAAGCGTTTGATTTGCTCGTTATTGGTGTAGATAAACAACTTTCGAATATGCTTTCTTAAAACTGTCCGTGGGTATAGCAACTGTTTTGGGGCAGTTTTCTTTGTATTTTCCACAGACTTCCCGTATTCTATCGTATTTCTAAGGATGTAACTTAAGTTTTAAATATTATTGTAATTCTTTGTGTCGGACGATTTGTATATTTTCTATATATGTATCCTCTTAAAATTTTACTCCGAAAACAACCGAGCGTTTGATACCTAGTTAGATCGAGCGGCTGATTAGTAATAAATCCCTACGCGAAGAAAAGAAAGAGTAAACTTTGTAACAAAGTGACCAAAGTTAAAAGAAAGATTATAGAAGAAAGAAATCTTCCATGGTCGTGCGCCTCGTAGATTTCACAGAAAATATATCCTGTACGGTGCAGGCTCTGAAAAATAATACGTAAACGATGTTTTTTTCAACAAACGGAAGAGAACGCGAGAGAGTGAGCGAGCGAATGAGAGAGAGAGAGAGAGAGAGAGAGAGAAAAGAAAAGAGAATACGTGAGAGAGAAATAGAAATACTAAAGTAATCTTTATTCTGACGACCATTCATACGTGTAAATTTTCTGCTATATAATTAATTCAGTGTAATCTAGTTATTTAACTAAGTAAAGATATTTCATAGGAACGTGTCCCGTTCTTAATCGTATCGTTCTCGTTTTAGTTTCTCCATAAGAAGCGTTCCGATTAATTTAGAGCGTGAATTATGGTTTGTATCGTGGAAAAAGTGAATTATCGTTTGTCTGCTTGCACTTAAAAGGCTGTATCGTGGTTTTTTCACTCGTGTTATCTGTAAAGAACATTATATTTGCATCGCTGCAACCAAATCTCGAGCAGACGTTTTCATTTCATAGTACATTTGTTACCAGAGAAATGGGAGAGGGTGGGGAAAAAAATGATATCGGACATGAAAATTTGATGTAATCGAAGCAGAAATGGAAAAAAAAGGAAGAAGAGGGATCATTGTATATTTTATTACCAGTTTGTTTGTCATTCGACTTCCTTTGGAGAAAAATAAATGCCTGTCTGGTAAAGAAACTTGTCTTTTCGGCACCTCGCGTAACTTGTGTTACGTTAATCGACATTCGCGAGCGGTAACGTCGGACAAATTTCCAGAAAAATACTGCTACGATTCAAGCAGAGAAACAACACGGAACTGGCCTAATTAGTTTTACACATGGAATTTGTTTTCCTCGCCTTTCCTACCGGTTGTCGGTTTGTTTTTATTGACCGTAATGTGAAACCCAGCCACCGACCACTTTGCGTGGGAGACGTCGCATCCATCTACGTCCGTGCGTTTCCATGTAGGAAGCGCAAGTGCTTCGTGTTCTTCGGCAAACCGTTTGTCGAAAACACTCGAGCTTTTAAGCGTATGCCCTAATGAAAAACGTGAAATTTTCTACCCTAGTACGTTTTATATAAATATGTTCGTACGAAAAAGGCACGTTGTCTCTGCTGAATAAATTTCGTCGAATTTGAACGAGCGGTGGAAGGGAAAACGAGTCGGACTCCGAAATTTGTTGAAAAAGGAAGTAAAGGTCCGTAACGCCCTGTTAAATCGATACAGGATCGTTTTTCTTTAGTTACCTTTCAGTTCTAATATCGATCTTGAGCCTACGTGTTTCTATATGTATATACGAAGCAACAGGTAAAGCAACCGATAAAAGAAAGGAAAAGCTAATAGGATGTTTTTTCGTTTTCAGATTTCATCCAACTGCATCGAATCATTTAACGCGTTGACTGCCATATCACCTCTACGTAAGCAGTAATTAGGAATCTATCAGGTGTACAATATAAGAAATTCGTTAACTCGTCGGATTAAAAGTAATCGTGCCGGATATTTCGAGAATGATCGATAACGTTTGTTAAAAGGTAGAAATATTAACGAAGAAAGTAATATCGAGGGGCCTGCGACGTGGCAGTCGACGTATTAAACTTTTCTTTCCTTTCTATTTTTCTTACCGAAATATTCGTTTAATCGCGTATCTGCCTGCCCCAAAAATTCCAAATTTTCTCTATTCGACGCTTCTCTACTCTTTGACAATCTTTCTGCTGTATCGTTTACTAACGTGTCCTCTTTTTGTCAGCGAAGCATCGTGCGAATGATTCGGTCGCCCCTAATCGAGAATACACGTGCGTTCCACGTGTGTACGTTTAAAAGAGGGGGGCAGGATAGGTTAGAGGGTAGGGATTAGGGGTGCCTGTTCAGCGAAGGAGGGCCGGAGGGGAGGCGAGAGTAGGAGGAGACGAGGAAGAGAAGAAGAAGAAGAGAATTGTGGAGGAAAGGAAGGAAACCGCAGCAGTTAGTCATTTACGAATAAGCTACTGACAAAGCCGGACGTCTCCGTTTCGAGCGAACGCAGTCGTCGAACGATTTGACCGATAGCGAGGTGGTCGCGGCATGGCTGCACGAAAGAAAGAGGATTCGTCGAAACAACGTTATCAAGCGAACGCGCGCGAAAGGGACCGCACACATAGGTGAAAACATCATCTTTTTCACGGACCGTTATAATTTATTGTACTCCGTGTTGTAGATTTTCAAGTTAAACATCGTTATAAAATAACGAACATACACTCGTGCACGATAAGAATTAATCTGACATTGGCTGTTACATTTTAATAAAATATATCTCGTTTTGCTAATGGATACATATATATATATTTAATCCGTGTGTCTAACAATAAGTTTTCAAATGTTCGATACAGTATCATTGATATATATGTATGTATATCGATCGTCGGAGAGCTCGGTGAAAAAACGATTTGAACGAAACTAGTCTTCTATTCGAGAAATTTCATCTTCCTGTACAGCGTGAACACGGCTTTCTGTGCGTTGAGAACATTGATACCGACGGAGCCCGCGGATAGGAAATTATCGAAAATTGAAACGTTAAGATTAGCCAGCAGTTATATCAATCATTTGGGTGCTGTTCTTGTCGCTGGTCCCGTAAATCAACCATGTTTACGCGTCGAGGATCCCGCTAATGTTTACGGGACAAACGATTGGGTCGATTCGCAAGCAAGGCCACAAGTTTGCACTTTTTGTCTTGCCATGCACAAGAAATATGTAAGTTCGTCGATTACATTATGCGTTCGATCGATCTATGTTTATTTCTCTATCTGTTTACTCGTTACATAGAGATCTGCCACTTTGTTACTCTATCGATGGTACTTAATATTCGTTTTCTTTTTCGCTTTCAGAACTTGAACATCGTCCCCGAGGTAATATCGAATTATTACTAAATTCGCGAGAGCTGACGCGTACTTTAATTATAAAGAATCTGTAAAAATCATATTTTACTGTAAAAGCATTATTTTACCTAATTACATAAGTAAATAATTTATTACATATATATATATATATGTATTTCTTGTATATAAGACTCTCACTGAGATTAATAAATGTTTATATTGGCTTGTTTAATTATATCGCGTTTATTACAAGATTACAAGATACGTAACTATAAAGTTATTCGCAAGAATCATTTAGTTCGGACACGTTTACGAGTATCGTTTGTTATTTTCGTCGTAACATTTGAACGTTGAACGACGCGAAACAACGAGGACAACTGGACTCGATACTCTTATTATTATACTCGATCGAATACGTTTTATTAGTTGATATTTTAGTCGAAAATATTCGTTTTATACGATCAGTTTATCGTATCGGTCGAAAAGTTTCATTCGAAGTAATAAGTCGCGAGGAAGAATTAAATTCGTCGTGTTATCGATAAAGTTGCAGATGTCAGGCTGACGAGCGTAGTACGGCGGCGAATGTTTCAGTCTTTCGAAGTTAACAATGCTGTGAGGAAGCACATTTTCGTTTTTCTCTCCGTTCTCGTTCTCGTTTCAATTTCGGTGTTTTTCTATTCGATTATTAATTGTCTGCTAGTCGATAGGTGATCATGCCCGTTGCCTCGAAGCGATTCCTCGAATGTTTTCTTCCTCGGAATTAGGTAAGTAAATAAAAAGTATTTGCATCTAATACGAACCATGGTAACCAAACGATCAACTATCGCCATTGCTCGAAAATTTTATTTACGCGACGGTTAAAACGTATGTTAACGATTATAACGTATGTATGTACGTACGCGTGTACAATATATACGCGGCTAGTGTTGTTGCCGCGTATAATAAATAAAAATAAATTTCGTGAATATAACGTTATCGAGTCTAAACGAAAATAATTTCGGATAGTATACCGTTTAAAAATCGTGTGAAAAAATCTACGTATACGGAGAGAGACTTTAATATTTAAACTTTCAAATTACTAGATATTTATATAATTTTGCATAATTATGTATTTTATCTTATAAAAACGGTCCGTGCGAATACATCGGCGAACATAGTAATCTTCTATAGGGAAAATGGCGTTGCAGGAAAAAAATGTTTCTCCGCCCTTTCGGTTTCGAATTTAGAACTTTAAAACTCGAGAAACCGAGAATTTGCATATTTTCCTCTTTGCTCATTGCGAGAATTGGCTAATTCTTAAATTCAACTATTTCGACATTTTCGAAAGTCGGACACATTTCGAGCGGTGGAATTTTGATATTTAGCCTTGTGGAAATTTGAATATTAGAAAATTTCGAAATATAGAAATTTCACGATTCGGATATTTTAGAATTGAATAATTTCGTTAGAAGAGATGCTTCGTCTTGATTAAAAAAAAAGCCTACGTTGCACCTAAATGTGTAGCAAAAGTCCCAACTGCAAGATTGACGGAATGAAAATTTAAAATCAAGAAAATTAGCGCCCTGTACGGCGCGTACGACCGCCATCTTGTAAAAGTGTCTGTAGTGTTTGGAGGTTTGGCAAGAAGGAACAGCAGCTTCGCCGGAGGCTGGAAGTCCTTTTGAAGTGGTTGCAACGGTCCTTGGCAGTCCCTGGCCACCCAGGTGACCTCGTGCGAGGCCAGGGTACCTTCAAGCTGCTAGGACAACTTGGTAGCGAGAAAACTCATTCACACGCCCGACTCTCGTGAAGATGGTGAGCATTTTGAACGGATTTTCATCTAACCCTCTGAAAAATTCGTTTTTCTCCTTCGCGATTATCTTCGATGATTGACACAACCTTTCCTACGCAACGTATCAAACCTACTAGAATATTATTCTCTCCGTAAAACGTTTATCGCTAATTTCAGGGTTATCGATGTCCGAAATTTCGGCAACGAAACGATCAGAGCTTTCGCCTGTCAATATTTTTATGTAGCGCTCGACTTAAAGCGATCGTTTCAAGACTTCGATGCGTACCATCGACACGCTTTTCATATACTCCTCCCTGTCATTTTCGTACACTGTCAACCGAATCGGAATCTATATTTATTTATCGTTGGATAAATAATAGAATGCGTAAAATGTAGACCTGCGAACAAGTTGTTTTTGTTTGAGTATAAACGTTCTGATTACTGACAGTCTCGTACATTTCGTGTCGATACTCTGCTGTCATGCAATTGCGACATGAATACCGTCATTTTCTTGTTTACGACGTGTTCGCGTATTACTTCTGCCAGTAAGTTTTTGCATAAATGCAATTTCACTAAGTTCACTGAAAACAATCATTTCTCCTGTGTAAAACATTATGGTATAATTGTACATCTCTGGGAAATGTTAAATTAGTCTTTTATCCGGTAAACACACGAGAGATAATTAAAATTTTTGTTTATTATTCGATAGAGAACAATCAGCCAACCAAATGTTGCCCGGAAAGAAGTATTCGGTTGACTATGGTTCTGTAGAGAAAGTATTTGACATAAATTTGCAAAAAGATGAACAATGATCCATATTATTTAACGCTTTGTTACGCTTCCACGCGTAAGCGCTATAACCATCTTTATATATATTCACGTCGAGTCTAATTTTTGCTTTTCTTCTCTAATATGTTTGGTCTTCCCATAGTGCCTACAAGTTCTTTATGAGATTTTGATCTATACTATTGATGAACTATTTTTTAATTTTAAATATACCGAGTACATTATTGGTACTTGGTTCGAGAATTCAATTAGTTTTGTGAGCCACCTTCGCTTTGAAATTTCCTATAGAAATCGTTTAATATACGTTTCTTAAATACTTTCAGATATTTCCTTAAATTTTCTATTTACAATTTCTATTCTTTCTCTTTACGATAAATAATTATTGAATTTTTTTCTACAAAATTTTCAAAGAAAGATATATCGGTATTAATTTTGTAATATTAATACCAACGCAAACTTGATTTGATTTCTACACGAAAATGTCCAAAAATGTTAAGTAATAAAAATTTGTAAATTGTAGTTAATTTAAGGCTGTCGTGTTAGAAAAGAATACGCGCTACTCTTTGGCCCTATTTTAATGGCCCGTTTTAACGCCTAAAAACAGTGTGCATAAATATGTTACGAAGTAACATATAAATATTTGAAACGATACGTACACACACACACATATATATGTATATTACAAGTTTATTAATCGCATATTTGTATTTCGCATAAATATTAGCTGAGTTGTTTTAATATTAGTTATGCTATTTAGAGTTCAGCATCAACGGGTGGAACCGAGGGGTCTAGTCCAGCCTCTAGCCCTGCCTCAGCTACGAGTCTGACCATGGCTGCTCCAAAGTACGGTACTTTAGTACCAAATCGCATCTTTGTAGGCGGTATTTCAGCTAATACCAGCGTAGAAGAACTTGCTCAACTTTTTTCCACTTACGGCAATGTGAAGGCGACAAAAATAATTTCCGATCGTGCAGGCGTTTCGAAAGGTTATGGATTTGTTACGTTTGAAACGGAAGAAGAAGCGAAAAGACTTCAACAGGAGGTTTGTAACGCGTACTCGAAGCGTGTTTAATGTTTCTCTATAAAATGAAATCATGTTAGTAATATGAAATTATTTTGGTTGTAGTCTGAATGCATTGTGTTAAGGGAAAGAAAATTAAACATAGCGCCCGCGATTAAAAAGCAACCTTTTAATAGATCTTTCGATGGTGGTTCTGGATCACCACCTTCTGTGCCTACTAGTAGTTACTATTTTGCGAACGGTTAGTATGATCGTGTAATAATTTCTAATAAATTATCGTCGATCGTAAAACATAGAAATTTCATTTAAAATCTATTTTCGTTATTCAGGTATGGGTCTTACATACCAAAATGGGATGACGTTTTACAATACGACGGCGCCAACACCCACAACACCGATCGCTCCGCCAACCGATCCAGCAACAATCTATCAAGCTACAGGGGTTTTCGGTAAATTTAACGAAAGACTGTAACGATTTTTCGATAGAATCGAAATATTTTCGGTAATCGAACGATTTGACTTGAACAATTAGGGCCGCAAGCTGCTGGTCATCAAACTTATGCGCCTGTGATGTATCCGTGTCCTGCTCCATCCCTCTACATGCCACAACAATACCATCAATATTCACCTATGCCGGTAGGTAATATAACAAACGAGAATTATGCTAACCTTCTTCTCAGAGACTTCCTTGTAATCTTGGGTCCCCCACATACATCCTACAATATGAATTGTTTACGGGTATAGCTTATATTTATATTAAACGGTAAATCGGTTGCGGTTTGACAGACAAATGGTTTGATGGGAGAAGCCATACCACCGGCGTTTCTGCCCAACCCTCAGCAAATGCCTACTTACGTCCTTCTCGACGCTATACAGTATTGAGGTCTAAAGGTACATGGTCTATGCTAAAACGACTAGCATGCAGCGCATTATCTTTGTGCATTTTATTTATCAAACTTTTGCATGGCCTATCAATGCATGCACATTTATCTTTCATAATTCATGGTTTATATTAATAATATCGTCACACGAAGATCGTATTTTTCTTCCTTTTTTTTTTTCTTTTCCGTCTTTTTCGTCTTTTTCGTCTGTTCGATTTTTCGCATTTACTTATCGAACATACACTCGTTATCACTTGCTTACCAGTTGTTAAGAGTAAAGAAATTTGACTCGGCCGAAAAGATTATCACAGAGTGCATTATCGCGATATAACGTTCTTCTAATGACCTCTAATTTTCTACGTATTACTTCTTAAGTATGTATTTATGTATCTTTCGACTTCTCGTTTCACGCCTATACTATCTTGCATCGCAATTTCCGTTTTCCATAGAATACGAAATGTATGTAACACACGTATTGCGCGACACTTGTACTTCTCCTTGTTCCAAATGGTTCGAAATTCTTTGCGAGACAAGTACGCGTTCGAGTAGACATTACGGAATAAGAGCTCGCGCGAATAGATTACACTCTCGTATAAAGGTAAAGTATGCGATAGTTGTTTGTCGTAGTAACCGTTATTCGATAAAAAGTGGAGAAATCTGGTTTCGTTGGTTCGGAACTAGATGGATTCACGACACGAGGATTTGAACGCGATACTGTTATTGGAAATTATTTGAAATAATTGGTGTTGTGTGTCGGAAACGGAGCAGATAATCGAGAATAGAATCGTTATTTCTGTGCAGTACGAGACGTATTATCCGGGAGCAACAGCCGCAGCCGCAGGAACTTCTTCGTACTTGTTTGCAACCAGTAACTCGCAGAGCAATACTAGCGGCGGTAACAGCAATTCAGGAAGTGGCAATAACGGTACAGGGGCTACTAGTCCACCAACAGGCCCTCCACCGCCACTTCCGTCCTTGCCTCCACCACCATCGACGCATTTCTACACTCCTGCAGCTCCGCCACCGCATCATCATCCACCGGTGCCTGCAGGTCCTCCTCCTCCTCATCAGATGGATCACATTTACTATCCTTATCCGACCGGACCGCATCCACCGCCACCACCGCATGCACCTATGGGGTTGACCGATCAACAGTTAATGGTTTACAATACGGAGCCCCAGTGTCAACAGACGTCTTCGTCCGATGGTCAAAACGCTCCACAAGAGGTAAGTTCTTCTAAGCGAGCAAAGATTCGATGATAATTTGAATCGCTTCCATCGCGATAAGATCGAACAGAAGTTTCCGATAATCGCGATAATCGCGGCGAACAAGGCACACGAGGTTACACGGTTACGGAGTTGTCGATTTTAATCGTTGATCTTAATTTTAATCCATCGAGTGTTTGGGGAAAATCGAGAAACCCGTAGCTGCGTGTCCTGTTGTCGTAATCGGTAGTTTTATGACGTACGACAGCCGCGCGGAGAAGGAAGGAAAGGCATTATTACCATCATCTGTTGAATAAATCGTAGGATTCTCGTTCGACATCGAGCCACTCGGAGCAACCACACGGTGAAACACAGGCTGCTTCAGGCTCGGCCGCACCCCTGGTGTCCTTAATGCCCGTGAAATTTCCTATGTCTGGTCGTTACACGAATTATCACCCGATCGCGATACACACAGCTAACTTGTACAGTTCCCAGACATGCTTGAACGATACGGACGATTGCAGCGGCAATCAGATGCATTGTAGGGCTATCGTCTATCATCCAGCGGCCGTATACATTCCTCACGCGCATACACCTACGTTTCACAACGCTTCCGGTGGTAGCAGTTTGTTGCCGACACCGGCCGCCACGGTGTCCCAGCAAATGTTCGATTCGGCCAACAAGAGTCAATGCTTCGGTTCGAGAGAGTACACGAAATCGGGATCGGTGAACGGGCAAACAAATTATTCGAAGTCTCAGAACCATGGGATCGCGTTGTCGTCTCATCAGGGCCCGTTCGTTAGAGCTCAAAACGTAGGAAACGTTCAATCGTACAAGCACAGTAACGTAGACGGGAATTACAAGTACTCACCGGCGATGGCCTCGCGATTCTCCATGCCGTACAATAAAAAAACACTGACTGGCTCGAGCGTGGGCTCTCCGGCTTGCTTTCTAGCACAAAAGTCTGAAAACTACGGTACTGCTCAAGGCGCTCAGAAGCCCGGTAGTTACGCGTTGAACGCGACCGGTCAATCGTACAACTGTTCGAGCTCGCAGAAGACGTTGAACGCGAGCCAGAGCTTCGATTACGCGAACGCTGCCCGTAGGAATAACTCGAGGAGTAGCTGTAACGTGGACGGGTATTTGCGTAAACACGCGGCTAACAGCTATCGAAACAACGGCTCCGTAGGACATACCGAGGGTAACGGTTCTAACAATCAGTCGTCTAACGATAATTACGCGAGCAACGTCGATTGCGAGAGTAACGGTTCGCAGAGTGTACAGGCGACGGAGAGCAGTAATTCGGATAAGCCGGTGAGCCCACCGCCGCCACCTTATTCGCCCATGACACGACCGCTTCCAACTTTGTCACCGCCCAACTCCCAGGTCCAGTTCTTTGCTCCGGCTCAAAACCGTTACCAGCCATCCTTAGCCCCGTCCCAACATCAGCAACAACAACAGTCGAGCAGTGCCAACCAACGTCGGTACACCATCGCTCCAGCGTTGTCAGCGACCAGGAAACCATCCACGGAGAAGTACGCTTCGAGCTCCGGCTCCCAAACGGCGATGCTGCGACAGAGCAAGTACAAGGTGAACGGGATCATGCAGACCGGGAACAAAATGCCCGACGACAGTCTCGGAGGAGCCGGCGACGCTCCTCCGGGTGTTGGCAGAATGCCTATCACTCCGCCGGGAACACCTCGGACTCATCCGGGTCATCCTGCTGGCGATCAAAATCAACTGAGCGACACGTGCCATCAGATGCAAGCTCTGAGCCTTTGAACTCGATCCTCGAATTCGACTTTTCTTTCTTTTTCTTTTTCTTTTCCTCTTTCTCTTTATCTTTATCTTTTCTTTTTTTTTTCTTTCTTTATTTCTTTCTCTCTCTCTCTCTCTCTCTCTCTCTAATCTCTCTCTGTTTACCAATTCTTTTTCTTTTGGTTCTATCCGTGTAAACACGATGTGCGTAGATAGTAAATAAGAGACGATTAATCGATTTCGAGGCCGTATATTGTAACGTCGATTCACGGACGATCTGCATATTTGATTGAAACTACATGTAAAACAGACACGAAGGTGAACGAATACGATTCTTTTTCTCTTGTGATCTCAATTCCAAATCGAATAGACAGAAAAAAAAACTATAACAAAAGCTAGACAAAATCGATAATTATATTTAAATGAAACTCTTCGATAAATTATCAAACGTACTAAATTGTTAAGCATTTATAAAAGAATTATATATTATATTATATATATATATATACATACATATATATTATATATAAGATAAAATACGATATTTAAAGATTATTATATTAGTTATGAGAAAGAATGATATACACGAATAATATATATGTATATACAATATTATATATACACGTTATGTATATACTTGTTTATACGTGTTTATACGTATATTCAGGTATATTATATACGCGTGTGTGTGTGTGTGTATATATATATATATATATATGTATATGTATGTATCGACAAACCAGATATAAAATTAGAGTAAAGGAAAGAAATTCAGAGTCAGTTACGGTACTATCTCTTAATAACATTCGAATATTAACGAGATGAACGAAAAAAAATAATAATAATAATAACAGAGTTAATACTATAGATATTTAATAGATACACACAGATACGCTACATTATTTAACATCTGTATGTTTAATATATGCAGTATTTGACGTTATGCGCGATAGGCTCGACAAACCATTGAATCTCACGAGCAAGGCTAGATTAGGATAGACGGATGTAAGAAAAAAAAACGAAAACAGACGATAGAACAGAAGAAAACGAGAAAAAAAGCAACAAATAATGTTATTATCGTACAAAGGGACGAACGATTTGTTATGTGTTCAAAAAGAAGGAGAAGAAAAAAAAGTGACGAATCGGAAGGGTAATAGGGAGGCAGAAATAGAAGTTGATTTCGTAAAAACGGTTGCTCAAGGCACTGCCACATCTCTCACTTTTGATTTTTTACCTGAAACATGGTGAAACAGTACTTATAGGTTTTGATTAGAGTAACCGTGATCTAATAACATTTTTCACGTCATTTCGAGACACGTAGCAGACACTTGATTTATCGGTTTCTTTCTCTTTACGTTTCTTTTTTTTTTATTTCGACAAATTATCTGCGCGCAAAAAAGGGACAAAAGATGATCGTAACAAAGTAGTTGTTACAAAACGAATTAAAAAAAAAAGAGGAAAAAAGAGATGATGCCCTGTACCCAACAAATGAATACGATAAAAAAAAAAAAACGATAAAAAAGAAAAAAAATGTAATACTGAATTAAATAAATGTGTCGGCTGTGAGCTTCCAAGCAAATAACAATAATTAAATTATTATAATATAAAAAGGGTTAAATGATATTCTACCTAATTGTTATGAATGTGAATTTCTTTTATCTATAAATGAGACAATTTGTTATCTCATATCTCGCATATTGTAGCTATTATTATCTATTTAAAAAAAGAAAAATAATAAAAAAGCGAGGATACCGGAAACTGAGAACGATGCCGGAACTTGTGGCGCTGTGATTTAGATGTCGCGGCAACGTAGACAAGGAAGAAGAAAAGACTATAAAAGAAGCTTAAACGAAACAAAGAAAATAAAAGATACAAAAAGGGAGAGAGACACGAGGAGAGAGTGAAAAGTGAAAAAAAAAAAAAAGGTTATATATTCGAGGAGTATGTAGTTGAACAGACGACAAAGGCCTAGGACGCATAGATTACCCGTGAGTCGTTACGAAAGAAATTAATTTATTGACGAAAGAAAAAAAAAAAGAAAAAAAAGAAATGCAAGAGTGCCTTCTATTTGTTTTCGTAATTGTATTGTTGAACATTTGTTGCGTTACGTTCCAAGAGCCTCTAATGTTGTTATAAGAAAAAAAAAAGATGTTTGAAGAATGTTGTTCCTCTATTTATTTATTGATTTACAGGCCGATCATGGCCCACCAGCACCCAGCGAATTTGAAAGTGTGAAAGTATGCTGTTTAGAGAAAAAAAAAAAAAGAAGGAAATTGGGAAAGGAAGTTTAATTAGAAACGATGATTTTAGGATGGTACACGTAGAGAAAAGGAAAATAGTAAAGCGAGGAAAAAAATCATCATCCCATTTGTGGCATCCGAGTCGCACGAGCCCCCTTTTCTTTCTCTCATATTACGATGGTACAGAAAACGATATTATTAATAACACGTAATCGAAGATAAAAACCCTGAGCAGCTCGTTTCGGCACCTATTTCTATGTATAATACACGAAAGGATATCTCCAGCAATATACATATATACATACATATAAATATATGCATATGTTATATATATATGTGTATAGTATATAGTACATATATATATACATATATGAAAGATAGATATTAACGAACGAAAAGAAACAAAAATGTATGCTAGAAGGTATATGAAATGCGAGTATCATAAGGGTATGTACTTTGGGTGTGCTTGAGCGTGAACTTGGATTGGTGGCTGTGATTATTGCATGCAAGTTAAACGAAAAGAGGAAGATAGTTTTATGTGTGTAAGAATTCGTGTGTCGTTGTATCGATACTGTTTCTCACACGCTACACGCGTATACATTACCAATGCATACATAACTAGCACACGCGCAACACGTACATACACACAAATATATATTATATATATATATATATATATACACACACACACGCGCGTGCACAGAAACAAACAAACAAACAAACACACACATACATATATACATGTAAGAAGAAATGCAAAGTACGATTCTATGTTCAGTTTGGTACCGGTCTAATAAATGAAACGTGTGCTAGGAAACGAGTCGTTTAATCGCGGTTGTAATTCATGTACTAAATTCAACGTAGAATGGTGCTGATACGACATAAAATATATAATATATACTTCGAAAAGTATATTATAATATAAAAATCTAAGATAGATATTAGAGGGTATGCGTAGTTCAATATAGATATATAATTGATGTATATTATACACGGTATAAGCGGTATGCTTTCTACGATTGTGGATTACCGTACGCGTATGTATGATATGTTATACGGTAAAGTAGCTTTTATTGGTACTCGTTCAAAGGTTTTCTTATTACGAACAGTCGCTTATTTTCGTTTTGATTTTTCTTTCGTTTCTAAATTAGTATTGTTTATAGCGCTGTTAAGATAATCTTAAGATAAACGGTTAACTAAATAACTTCTGAGAATGTAAAAAGCTAATATAGGACAATCTTAAAAAACATATATACCAGTCGATGGTTTTATGTTTTGCTCGTTAAGAAACGTTAACTAGTGTAACACTTGAGTATAGAGTTCATTTCTTCGAAGAGAAAATCGATGAGACACGTTCCACAATCTACGAAGCATGCAGCTCCTAAAACACAAAAATTGATGTATTAAAAAAAAACATAACTTATACATAAAATGACATGTAGGTTGTACAACAAAAATCTATCTAAGTACTCGATGATAATAAAAAAAAATATATTACGTGTAAGGGATGCATATATTTAAAAAGAAAATAAAATAAAAATATCTGTGCATGAACATTATATAGATGGAAGAGACATAGCGAAGAAAAGGTATAGACTAAAATAAGTGTGAATCTCTCCTGCAAATATATAATAATAAAATCTCATAAAAGATATGAAATATACAATGCTCCAGTACATATACACTGTATTTGTGAATTTACCTTTCTTGTTTATAATTTCATTTTTCTTTTCTCGTTTCTCGTTTCTCGTTTCTCGTTTCTCGTTTCTCGTTCCTCGACACAACGTAAAAATAATCGAACTGAAATTACATTTGTTCGTTCGATATATTGGATATTTTATTAATTCGATATTTATTCCAACAGTACAGTTTATAATTAAGTCCTATTACTTACTATATATTTAGTCTTTTCGTTTACTAAGTAGACACAGTATAATGTAAGGTATTTGCACTAATACACTGTATTAATTCTATCGTATCACATGTTTTACCATAAAGCGGAGATCTAAATACAATAACAAGTTCGGTATATTGGAGTATACACTTTACATATTTTTCATTAATAAAAACGAGCATATAAATTGCACAATTTCTCTTTCGTATCTCATTTATCTCATTGACGCGCTCTATTATGTGAATTTCGTTTCGCATACTTTTATACCTCGACATTAGATATTACGTTTATCGCATATGCAAAATATCGTTAAAATCACATCGATCACCGTAGTAGCCTAGTGAACAATAATTATTTCGAGGACGTACTTTTGATTACGACAATCATCGTTCGGCTTTAAAATTTCTTTAATTATTACTTATTCACTTTATAGCGAATAATATATAGTTATAAAGGTATAAAAAATTCTTGGCATTTTGATTATGGCAGTGTACAGAAAATAATAGTAATTTTGATGGAAATTAGCTTATTCTCCTCAGTGAATATTTGTAAAAAGGATTCGATTCGCAAAGTTCTTTGAAAACTATTTTTAACAATGTACTCGTCTAAATACGTTCAAGATTTCCCCAACAACTACTACGAATGCAATAGCATAGTATATGCACAGAGTTAGTCTGCTTGTACGATTTACAATTCAGTCGTCATGTGTGATGTCAGTGCTTGCACGCGAGTAGCGTTACAACTTTTACACAGTACATGATCATCCAGAGGATAACATCCGCGTCCTTCGGAATCGGAAGAAAGAATTAACCCACAGTCTTCGCATTTGTAACACTGAATGTGGAAACTACGATCCAATGCTACAACCCGTACAGTTTCGTCCTGCCCTGGTTCTGGCATAATTGGTAATTTACAAACGCAACAACGTGGAGCAAATTTCCTGCAGAGAAAAACGTTATGGATACAGGCTCGTATCATTGTTTTATCATTTAATATCTGTTTACGTCCGAAATGCTACTTACTTGTGGAAACATTGTATACAGTGAATTTGGTTCGTTGCGTCTACCGTGAAAGGTATACCGTCTAAGCTTTGGTCACAAACTACGCACGTGAAACAGGATGGATGATAAGGTTTTCCTGTGGCTCTTAATATCCTATCGAGTATCGGTCTGGTACAAACGCAGCATTTTTCCAAAGTATTCAAATAATCTTCCTCGCAGTACGGTTTGCTTTCCAACGAATAAAACGGTTTACCCTGTAGATTTACTTTACAAACGTAACAACAAAAACAGTCGATATGAAACACCTTATCCATCGCGGAGCAACCGGTACCTTCGCCTTCGACTTTACGACCGCATTGTGCACAAATTCCATAAATGTCGGCATCTTCGGCATTATCCTCCATTCCTTGGACTAACAGGTCGGTCAGAACATCCACCTGAAATAAACAACTGGTAAGACTGTAATCCGAAAAATCTTAACAAGGATGAGAGAAGAAGAGAAAAATATTTGTGGAAAGAAAAGCAATATCGACATACTTCTTTAACCGGAGATACTTTCCCTTGTGGCTGCGTGGACGTAGCTGATCCGTAACCAGAATACATGGAATAATTACAAGAAAGCTGCGATGGCGGTCTGGGATTAATCGGTTCGTATATAGATTCGTACGTCGAACTGGATTGCGAGCTTGGACCATAAATATCGTTTGGATAATTATCCGAAGGAAAATCTGTTTGATAAGTGGCACGTCTTAATTCACTGTAGCTGGAAGATACAGGACTTGGCGGAGGTGGTAGTTCTTCGGGTGGAGGCGGGAAAGAATTGCCTGGTACACAAGGAACGTATTCTGAGGGTTCTGGTGGTGGTGGTAAGTCATCTGCAATACGATAATATTTCAATCGATAACCAGTTTAAAAATATAATAAATTATACGTATATAGAATAAAATGATAGGTTGAAATATACTTTGGACGATATAATACCATTGTTATGAGCAGCAGCGGGTATATTGCAATATGTATTCTCTGGTTTAGAGTTCCATTGAATATTACTGTAGATAATGTCTTTTTCTGTCTTAGGCCCAGTTTTATTAACTGGCATGGATATCGGAGGATCTATATTGCTGTATACAACGTTTCTCATTGATCTTGAATGATCGTCGACTGGAACTTGAGGAGCAGGTATATTTCCAATATTCGAGTAGTAATTTTTTTCATCGTAACCATATTTCGGTTCGAACTTCTCCTCTATTTGGTGCGCGTAATAATTCTCGTTGTTTTGATAACTTTTATGAACATCTTTTCCATTTGTGGACGATGACAATGAAAAATCATTTTTTTCCATATTTAATGGCACATATGACGAAGGAGAATTCATGTATAAATTTGATGATTTCTCATTCGTTCCGGAATTGTTAAGTACAGTACTGTACGATGGCACAGATGGAACCTTTATAGTGTAACTTTGTGGTATCTGGAACAAATTCTACGCGTAATCGCAGTGTTTTTAACAAAATATTTCAGATAGTTCGTAAATCTCGTAATTTTACCATCGACATTTCCAAATAATAACGAAACAGACATGAAAAGGGAACATGAAATATTTTTAGAATAAAAATTACTATAAATTTGATTAATTTCGCATAATTTACTGACCTGGGGTTGTGATTTTTTTGGTTTAGGAGGAACAGCTGGTCCCACCTTCTTTCCAGGCTTGATAGTTGCGACATTATCTCCATGATTAATTTGCAAACTTGCAATTTGTTGTTCCAAATTACCGACATTGGACATTTTTCTACAAATAACGATAACACATTTTTATTAAATCTGCAAAGGAACGTATACTTTGATAAAGGATCATAGATTAATCAAAAAAAGCGCATTCATCGAACAAACTATCTGTAAAACATACGTCTGTGTAGTTATTATTAGCGTTGTGTAATAGAATATATGGTATTGGAAACGTTATCGTATGAAATTATCATCAGTTGGATTTTGTATCTATCAAGTAAAAGTATATACCACCTGCCTATTACAAAATGGAACTTATACCATTGAAAAAATCTGTAGACCCACCTGGTAAGTGGTCAAAAATGATTTTCTTCTCAAATATATTGTCCAAAATATTGTTTTAAACTGAGAAACCAAAAGTTTTTCACTCCAAAAAATCTTCAAATATACTTCGTGCAATTACCGTGACACAACTGAATGGCTGACTCATAAATACCTTATCTCGCAACCTTAGAAATTCCTTTAGAATGAATTTTCGGAGTTAACCTTGATTGTACAATATCTGTGAAATAATTGGACGGTTAATATGAAAACGTCGAACGAATTATCAATAAACTTGAACGCATACAAACAAACGGTTAATAGCTTTACGTACTTTATCGTAAATACATCAGTCTTGAGTGGTCTTGCGGTCTTGGTAATTGAAGTACCAACTTTATTCGGGGAACAGATACACCACGCCCAAACCACCGTGTGTATCGATATTTTACGAAAATGATGAAACTTAAGCAAGCTGTAGACAAATTTCTACAGGTTTTTCTATTATGCGGATAATAGTATGTACGATGCATACGTTTGGCGGTATAACAAATTTTCATTCCAGTAGCATGATATTTTTACGAATAAAAATAGTTGGACGAATGTTGAAATTATATTCGATTCGAAAGATTAAACATCCGTAATGTCAAAAGGTTTATGCTTAGTAGTTATACAGAAGAATCGTGTTTTTCCTTTACTCCACAATTATTAGGTAACTGCTTTATAAAAGTGTATTCAGAAAGTTGTACAAATTGTACAGAGGTTACCGCGTCGCGCCATTTTCAAATACACATCATCGATAGCGTTGCGTTTTATCATATGTGTTCGGATACAACCATAAGCTTCCTTTGGATAAGAATAAATATAGAGAAAGAAACTATCCACTAATTGTATTCACCGTTCATATATATGTATGTATGTATGTATGTAAAAATGTTCGTTTTAACAGGTGTTGCGAACATTTCCATCCGAAAATTACAAAATATGTATTCTTGACATATCGATACACACGGGTATCGTTAAAATTTATTCGTTTCCACTGTTCTAGCCTCGTTAAAGATAATTGAAAATCGTAAGATTTAACTCGTTATGGTACACGTTTTACAACCTACACGTTTATGAGTTACGTTGTAACGTGACCGAGTATAACAGTCGAGGACAATACACATGCGAATATACAAGTATATATATAAAATTGTCGTTTTCAATGGAATAGACAGTCAATTGAAAAAATGTCTGTTCCAGTTTCTACATATCGCTCCTTTAGTTTTTTATTTTTTATAAGACAATTAGATAATTATTGTCACGTTTCTAGCGTAGAACAAAAGGAAGTTTTTTCTTTGTCTTTTCTATCGTTAACATTTACGTTCGTGTCAAGGTGAGATTGTTCGCAAAGGTTTTCCAACATCTGCAACGGCAACTACGGATGTTTTCGTTTCTATGTACAAGAAGCTACAGACCTCGTTTCGTTGACACGTACTCGTTATAGATACGATCTGATTGAACAGCATTGATAAATCGATTATACTGATAGCACGCGAGTGACGACTGTCACGATTTAATTATGTTTTTGATTAAATCGATAAATATCGTATCCACACACGTGGTGTATCTAGAGATCAAGAGAAGAAAGAGAGAGTTTATTTTATACATACATGTATGCATATGTAGATATTTTTCGTGAAAATTTTTATTCGAGCATCGCGTTTGATTTTCCTCGTTCGCGGGGATTACCGCAGTGATTCACTAGAAACATTTTACTAAAATTTCCAACGTATTATCCCAACTGATCTATGCACTATCTCGTATGACGTTTTATTTTTATTTAATATCGTTAACTATGAAACTTGAGACTGATCACGAAGCGTGCGCCGGAAATTGTTCGTTTTTTATTTTTACTCGAGAAATTCCGAAAGAAGATATTATATGTTATTGTTTTTCATAACGCGTTATATAATTCCTTATTGTTGCTTATCGATCGTTATCGCGTGTCTAATACAAATTTGTCTGATAACGACAGTTAAATATTTACAGGAAAAGTGTCTTCGATACAAAACAAAAATTTCGTTTATTTAGCGATGGTGTAATGTATATAGTATAAAAGCAACCATTGACACAGTATGGAGCTGTTTGATCGACGAAACGAATTATTACCGTCTAATTGTAAGATGAAGAAAGAAGTGTTCTCAGCACTGACAGGATGTGCATGCGAGATAATTCATCTGTTTTTATTTTTTCCACTCGCGAGACGATTGTCTGTTTATCTAATCGTAACGCAGATTTAATCACGATATCGATATACGTGGACAGTAGCAGGAAATTTTAGATCTTTTTAAATCGCTACTAACCAAGATGAAATACTTGAAACTATGTATCGTACTATGATCGTACATCGTATATATCGTGCTAGGGAAATCTATATTCTCCACTAGTTTTATCAAATATTTATTAAAAATATGTTTCTAACGAATGCACCGAAAATAATAACCGGAACGATCGATATCAACGTGATCGAGTGTAAAATCTAAACGAATTACGCGTTAAGTTCGACCGGAGGATTAAATTGGAGTCGATTGAGAAATTGTATCTTAAATCGAAATTAGAAATTGTGGTGTGTGTATATTTCGGTCGCGGCAACCGACGAACAGGTAATAAACCCGTTGTCGAGACGTATGTCTTCTACATATGATGGATGGGGAAACTCCAGTGATATAAGATACGAATTCGCGGAAGTTCGAGGTCACAAAGAGATTTTAAAGAAATTAATCGTTGGTCATGATAGCGACAGACGTCGGACAATGGTTATTTAGATTCAACTATTCCGGCGAAGTTGTTAATTCACGGGCCACTCGATGACGTTATCAAATAATTACATGCACTTCGCATGCATGTACATTCAGAGCATGATCTAGCTCTTCCGGCGCGGCGGCGCCCCACTCAGAAACCGCTCAGATTTTTCTTACTTTTATATGTTTAATTATAAATATTTCTTTCATTTTTATATTTACCTTTGATCCTTTCTACGTATATGTAAATTGAATCGTCAAATTTACAAATTAAATAAATTGTCAAGTAAATTGTCAAACTTGCAAACGTTGAAATGCAGAAATTTCAATATTTAAAAATTTGAAAATTGTTAAATGTACAGATTTTATCTGGCCAAGCGGTAGACAAAACCGTCCCAATATTTATCCTTGTCCGAATAAAATCTACGCTTCGCGTGAATTTCTGCAAAAATATGTACGTTATACATATGCATTTGTACGCGAATTTTGAGCCACTACTGAACTCGGGCATCCCCGTAGCCAGAGAAGGCGGGAGAAGGGGAACGTACGACAAAGTTGACTGTGACTGTAAGTCTTTTGCTTTCCGATTGTTTCACATCGGAATGGGGGACTAACGAGGCTGCGGTCGCGTTAGTCAGTGACTTAGGTTTCAGTTTGTCGATAGCTTTCGTTTCGGTTGCATCTCGTGTTTTCGTCGTGTATTATGTATTCCTTTTAATTGATATCGAGTACCGTTCGTCTTTTCCTTATTTTATGGTAAAGTGTTGTTTTATTGTTTCGCGTGTTCGTCTCAAATTTATTGTTCTTCGATCGAATAAGAATTAATGTTAACGTTAAATGTTATTTCATTTTCTCTCGTTACACGACTACTTAATAAGTAACGTCGAAATATTTGCTCCTGTAATTTCGTGCTTTATTAAAATTACGGTAAAAGTCTAGCTTTTAACGCGACACGTATCTTCTTCTTGCTTTTCTTTTTCAATATTTTATTAATTATATCAATTATGGAAGTAGTCGCTACAATTTAGAATATTTTGGGAACTCGTCTTTTTTTTTTTTATTCTAAGTATAACGGAGTTGGTTTTACCTAGAAATATATTTTTAATGTATAGTTAGTTTTTTAAGGTTTTAAAGAATAGATTTAATTTTCAGACGCATCTTGTCGGTATATCATGCAGAATAGTTACACTATCGAGTCTAACAATGATTCCACGATCAAGACTGTGCCTGGTCAGCGTACGCAAGAAGCGCAGACCATTAACAATGCGACAGAAAACACTTGCTTAACACCGAACAGGAGTCAAACATATTTTGCGGACGAAAAAGTTCTTATACCGGATACGGATAATGTAATGATCGTATACCAATGAACATTGGAATAATTCTTTTCCTTTCGGTGAATACTTTTTTTATTATCCTAATTTTAATTTTTCTTTCTTTTACAGGGCATATTTAGTTTTAAAAAATTATGGGCATTCACGGGTCCTGGATTTTTGATGTCTATAGCGTATCTAGATCCTGGAAATATAGAATCCGATTTGCAATCTGGAGTAGCTGCCAAGTATAAAGTAACGTTTCAGAGAGCGATTCTTTTTTTCTATACGATACGATGATTAGTTGCTTTACTTTTTGATACATTTATTTTTGTTCTTCTTATTTTTTTTTAGTTATTATGGGTATTACTTAGTGCAACAATTTTAGGCCTTGTCATGCAGAGATTAAGCGCAAGGCTCGGCGTGGTAACCGGTCTGCATTTAGCAGAAATGTGTTACAGACAATATAAAAAAGTGCCTAGATTGATTTTATGGATAATGATAGAAATAGCTATAATCGGTAGTGACATGCAAGAAGTAATAGGAACAGCCATTGCTTTATCTTTATTGACTAACGGGGCGTAAGTGACAAATATTAATACAGTGTATATTCTTTCCTATAAATTTAATGTGTTTTTTTTGTTCGATATACAATGTATCGGATTTGTTTCAGCATCCCTATATGGGGCGGGGTGCTAATCACGGTAATCGATACTTTTACATTTTTATTATTGGACAAATACGGTTTAAGAAAATTGGAACTCTTTTTTGGATTTCTTATCACGGTCATGGCTGTTACTTTCGGTTACGAGGTAAATTTTCATAATTTTATAAATAAATGACCGGTAATGTAATCGTAATTTAGATTTAAATTCAAGTAATTTAATTGTTATTTAATTTTTCGTATTACAGTATGTCGTTTCTGCTCCTCCGCAAGGTGATGTGATAAGCGGGATGTTTGTACCTTGGTATAAACATTATGACAGTCAAATGTTACTGCAAGCTGTGGGAATTGTTGGTGCGGTCATAATGCCGCATAACTTATATCTTCACAGTGCTCTTGTTAAAGTAAGGAAAGAACAAAGAGTATAAATAGTCTTTTTCATGAAGTTGAAGAAGTAGGCATTCTGATATTTCAAATGCTTGTGCATCTATAAGATAAGAATTTTAATTAGATTTTACAATTTTCAGTCAAGAGATATCGATCGTAGGGAATATAATAAAGTGAAAGAAGCAAATATGTATTACTTCATCGAAGCTTGCATCGCGCTTTTGGTTTCTTTCATAATTAACGTTTTCGTTGTTGCGGTGTTTGCGCATGGTCTTTATGAAAAAACGAACCAAGAAGTTGTAAGTACGCAAAATGGTTGTATCGTAGCTATCTGTACAATACGTTTAGTATTCTAAGAATACGTTAAGTATTCTGTTATGTTCTAGCACGATCTTTGTGAAAGCAACAACTACACTATGGGAATGGATACGTTTAAAGTAAGTGACAATAACACATGATTAAATTGATTTCGTTCGTTGACAAATTATTCATTTATAATTGTTCTTAATTTTATTAATTACAGCCAGAAAATACAACTATTTCAGTAGATTTAAACAAAGGTGGTATCTTTCTTGGTTGTGCCTTTGGTGCAGCTGCAATGTATATTTGGGCTGTTGGTATTTTTGCTGCTGGTCAATCTTCTACAATGACTGGGACATATGCGGGACAGTTTGCGATGGAAGGTTTCTTGAACCTCCAGTGGGCACGTTGGAAGCGAGTTCTCTTCACGAGAATGATCGCTATTGTGCCTACTTTCCTCGTTGCATTCTACAGCGATATAAATAATTTAACCGGAATGAATGATATTTTAAACGCTATTATGACGCTTCAGTTACCTTTCGCAACGTTACCAACAATAGCATTCACCAGTAGCGCTCAAATAATGGGTGAATTTCGGAATGGAATGTGAGTGCTAAGTGTTATCATCTTCCTTTTTTGCACGAATTTTCCATTTTTAATATGAAATTTATTATTTTAGAACGAATAAAGTTGTTGCGACAGCGTTGTCTGCTATTGTAATAACTATAAACATATATTTTGTAATAAATACGGTTCAAGAGGATCTACCGCATCACTGGACAGTGATACTTGCCATTTCTATATATTCTGTCTTGTATCTTCTATTTTGTCTTTATCTGGTAATTCATATGGCTGTAAGCATGGGTGCAACTTCCCTTAACGATTGCTGGGTACGTACTGAATACATATAGCGTATCGATATTAAGCACATACGTTCTGTTATTAAATATTTTCTTGTTAATTTTCATGACAGTTCGTGAAAAAATACATTGGCAGTCCTGTAAGTACAACACTCGGATTATCAAATCCTGCTGCATATGCAAGGTAAGAATGTTTTTATTCGAGTTAATCAGCTGTGTGTAATACTGACACCATAATCATGGGAAAGAAACTTATTTCTTTTGTTATATACATATATATACTTAATGTACATATATAATATTTATTTGTTGATACACGTTTTCGCAAAGAATAGTACCTACAATAATTGTTCGATACTTGCGATAGCTTTATTTATGTACATTTTCAAACTATATATGTATGTTAATTTATATATATTATCAGTTTCTGTTACGCTTAAGAACACTCTGCTTATTGGTACATAACTATTATGATAACAAATAAGTCGTATCATTTCATTAGCAAAGTTTTCATTGGAAATATTCGTGAAAACTAAAATATTTCAAACGGATCTTAATTCGGAAGATACAGTTTAAAACACGATATTTATGTGCTATTTCGTGTAATTAACATTGTATAAGCATGACAGCTATGAAATGATGCTTGCATTTATACACCGAATAGAAATATATATGTTACTTAGAGAATTTTTTTATCCAATTAACGATGTGTGTATACTTCATTTTATAATAAATACTAATATAAAATATGTTTGGTGTACAAGCATTGTGTTGTCTTACATCATTCGCTACATTTCGTACGAGAAACTAAATGCACTTTATATCGTTATTACCTTTGGATATGTATCGGCTTCCAAAACTTTTGGGATTTTGGATGAACGCATAATCAGTTTATACATGCATCATTTAAATAAAATAATATTGTCGATTTTCGGTATCTCGAATTATAGATATATTTAATTATTTAATAAAGCATGCTGTTTTAGTTATTGTTTAAGTGTGTATTATGTATCATATAAGCTCTTGGATTTATTCCTTTCTTTCTTGTTCATAGTTTCGACAATGTATCAAAAACATCACTAAATACACAATTAAGTTTACTTCATGAAACTACTTTAAATAAGTTCTATTTTTTTTTTCTAAATTTAAAAAGTGTGCATGTTTAAAACAGTTGCAACATCGCCCGAGTTCAGCATTATTCATGGTATGTACTCGTATTAATTTCATTTATTCAAAAATAAATCCCCCATTTCAAGAATTAGATAGAAATATAATAAGATAATAGAATTCACATTTACTTTTTTATTTGTCAGTTATTCGTTATCATATGTGATTCTGTTTATTAAAACGTAGTAAATAATCTCTTTTATTATTTAAACGATTAACCGTATTTATTTTCATTGCATGTACACCTTTAACGAACGAAACTGTGGGTTTGCGCTATAAATTTCATTTTTTTAGATTATCTAACAGAAGGTAAGAATCATTTTACATTTTTTTATTGCACTAAGCTTAATATTCTGCACGCGTAAATTATAAAATTACTTCATCGTTAAAATTACTTGGTCAAAAATAATTTTAACTTATTCATTTTTCATTTTTCAGATCGAATCCTGCATTTACTATTCAAGAAAATGGGACAGGAAGTTTTTCTACGCTACCGGAAATTTAATTCTTAATTTCTTCTATAAAAATACGGTAAAGTGTACAATACTCAACGAGTCTCGACTCTCATCCTTTTTACAATATGAAATTGTACAAAACTAGACTAGATAAATTGAAATATATATATATATATATTTTTTTTTACGATAAAAACCTTCGAATACATAATTAAATATGCTAGTGGAACGCCCCGTGCTGTGCACGGAGAATTAATCACGTAATCTTGACCCCCCTGCGCAGTCCTAAACCGTAAAAGATAGACATGCGCAGTAGATTTTTTACAAAGAGGCTTTCTGCAGAAAAGCTAAAAAAAAAACAATATTTAATGATTACGTAATTGGCTTTTAAATTAGAGCAATTTTAATTTTTCGAAATCAAGTGGCGCCATCTGTCCGGCGAACAGGGTGAACTACACTCGGCGGGAACACGGTTATCGTTAGTTCGCGTATTTTACCGCTAGATGACGCTGCATTTACCGTTCACATAGGAATTGTCTTCCTATACTTTAATAATCAATAAATTAATAACTTTGCAAAATAACTGATTGTATTGGATTTGATTCTGAATTTGATTTTAACACGTGTCCTTACATTAAGGTTTGATTACAGAATGAATAGCGAACGATTTTGCTTTTAAAATAAAGTAAACAAAATAAAAACTTGTATGGTTTTTACTTTTAAAACGAACGTACACCGTTGAAAAGGATAATAAAAATACGAACAATTGTATGATTCTTATATTTTTAATAATATTTTTTCTTTATTCGCTTTGAAGTGTCACAAAAATATTTTGCATGGGATACAATTCATCTTTGTACATGTATCATGATATTGATTAAATAGTTTAATTATTATATACTTGAATTAAAAAACAAGTATTGTCTCTTTCATTTTGAGTCTATTCGGTCATTGCATTTTTTCACTCTGAACACGCTGTTCACAAATATTGTAGTTTTGATAACAGAAATTTTGTCGAAAATTTAAATCGTTCCTGTTAAACATACGCAATATTTCTCTTTAGTTACTAAATAATGTAACTTGATAAAAATATGACTAGACATTTTAATAAATTATGGCGAACGTATTCTTACATTTCGTAATATTTTTAATGTTTCATATTCAATATTAATACGAATACGATTGCGATACGTTTGCATTTAATAAGGAGAAATGATGGGTGAGAAAGAATAGATATATACCCTGAGTCAAAAAATGTAGAATTACGGCTGTTTTACAGAATTTATAGAAAAATATCTTTTGCCGATATTATTAGTACGATTTTTTTTTATCTTTTCTTTATATCACCCTACACACTATTAACAGCAAATAATTTTTATTATCTCTTCTGCAATTAATTTCCTTTTTATATTTTTAAAAATCACAGATAAAGTTCTTCTATACCTCTAGAAATCAATTTAAGTAATATAGTGCTTTGCAATCACAAAGGATAATTAAGAATTCAATGCCACATTTTATTTATTTTTATAAAAGTTGTATTATTATTTTCTTTACTTTTCCCTTCTTATTAATTATATTTTTTATTTTTTTATCGATTCAAATTTGCAAATGATTAAGTACATAGCGGTGTATTTGCTCGTTTAATTACAAATTGAAATTATATTATTAGTGAATTAGAAAAGTCTAAACGTTTCAAAATGTAGCAAAATTTCTCCCAAATTTCATACAAGATATATCACACTTTTGCACGTATCGGCAATTTATCTGTAAATGCATATAAAATCAAATACGAATTTCTAATTTATCTTTAGTTTTGTTAATAATCTAATCATGAAGACATTGATTGTATGGTAGACATAATATACGCATTATTCTGGCAATACTATATGTATATACTATATATTCAGTTATATAGGATCTGTTGTTAACCGGAGGTAATACTGGTTGTGTTCTCGTTTATAATGCCAATAAATAAAGCCAATTATAGATAACACTAGTAAAACTAACATTAGTATCGAGGACGTCAGAATCGCTGCAATAAGGTAGAACGTTTGCATTATTATCGATAAAACATACGATAAAAATAATGCGAACAAGACAATTTTGAAAATTAAGTTTTTCATTTAAAAACTACTACGTACCAATGACTGCCGTTGTATTTATATTATATCCAAGTTTATCCCACTTTAATGTACATTCTTCTTCCCAATTTATGGGCACGACATCTTTTGTTAGCGCAATAAATTGATTTAAAGGGCATAATGCGATGCAACCAGGTAACGTTAGAAGTACTGGTTCGTCGCTATTATTTTTATAAGAAACCTAGAAGAACTCGATATGATTAGCGTTCTTGTGTCGGTGTTTACGTTTCAAAATATTTCAATGTATACTTACCGTTACAAAATACTGATTTTTCAAATTTACTCTTAATTCTAACAGAATCGTAGCAGTGTATGGAGGACAGTGTGGATCAAATACGTTTAGAGTCATCAACATGTTGGCTAAGGTTTCGTCGTGTGCACTGTACATCCATACTTTTCTATCTGGCACTAATGCATTTTTTGATTTCTTTTCCATATGATCTATCATTTCTCCGAGCAATAATCCTGTTACGTTTTAACAGAAAATTAAAATATACGTACAATATTTGAATTCCTTGAATACGTTAGAATAAAGGCTTCTTACCTGATTTTAATCTTTGAAGTATTTTATTGTAAGCGCTAACCGTAAAGCTTTTCGCAGCGAGAGATTTAAGTTTGCCAGGAAATACTGACTCTGTCCACTCTGGTAATGTTTTGTTGTACAAATTCTATAAAAAACAAAAAAAAAAAGATAACGACTGTTAAAACAAAAACTTATTAGACTGTAGACGTTTTTTTCTTTCCAAATCCTAACGCGTTATATACGATATAATCGTATAATACGTGTTATAAACGTTATATAAATCAAATCTAACAGAATAATTAAAAATCGTACCTCGACAAATAACGTATCGTATAATTGTTCGACGGATCTTAAGGAAGAAATTTTATTTCCTGTTTTCTCTGTTAAATATGCGTATAATTTTTTATTTTCTTTCTCTATTTTTTTTAATTCTGGAGAATCGAGAACCTTCCTTAGTTCATAATCGTATCTAGGACAATACTTTTTAGCGGCTAATACGTTATCCTTATCTTCTGGAATAGTATGAACGGGAATAGGCATCCATTTGATACTGTCCCAAACTTGATTGCCACTTGGCGGGTATAGACCAGCAAGATGCGATTCTGCTGACATCAAAGTACGATCTACGTCGGTACTTTGGATATAAATATCGTATGGAGAATATATGTCGCTTAAAAGATGCGAGTAACGTTTTCGAAGCCAACGACCAAGCAATAAATGTTGATGCTTACCAAGCTGTATATAACATAATAAATACAATGATAAGAATTTAGGCATGTCGGAAGGTGAAAATGGTTAAAAGTGCAAACTAGTTACTGCGAAATTGATCTGATTTTCTTTTAAAATATGCAAAAAGATCGCTGTAACAAAAGTTTTCTTTTTTAGAACATACATATTATAGTCGAAGATCACTTACGTTTGTTAACTGGCCATAAGAAACAGGCCAAAAGCTTTCGTTATTGTAAGGATCATTAGGATATGACCTTACAGGGGTCCTATCTCCGTGTCTATATAGCTGTAAAATACATTACAGTTATTTTTAATAAATATGTGCCATAATTTTAAAACAAATACACTGTTCGTTTTATATAGCTTTATGAATACAATAGAAAATTAGTTTGGAAAAAAAGTAAATATGAAACTTACAACATTTGCGAAGACGATGGTTCCCACATTTGCATCTAGAGCATATGATAAGTTTATGATATAGAATGCTAAAACAGCGACGAACAAATTTCTCTTCATATTTTCAATTTCTTTGGATTTTACACTTTTAGCTCTCTGATAAAGAGGCTTCAGGTAGAAATTGAATAAGACATCGATCTGTTATTTACCGCAACCTGTGGAATACTGCGAGCGTTCCAACATCTGGTGAGATATATCATGTATGTGTTCTTCCAGATATGTTTAGATTACATATGTGCAGAATATACGAAATACGAATAATCAACAAGTTTGAAAAACTAGCGTTGCGAAATTTAGTTTTGTGTAATGTCTCGATGTCGGCAGTAGGTTCCCAACCTTTCTTTCTGTTTACAGAAAAGGGTTATTTTAACAGTGGTACTCATCTAACAAAAGTACTTTCCAAATAAAGAAATTTATCAGCGCGATATCTGCTTTTGTTCAAACTTTAGATCGTTGATAAATTGCGTAAACATAACATCGCTGATTGTAATATAAATATAAATTTCATTTTATCTGTCTTGTGATATACATATAATGGATTATCATATTTTTTTTTGTTGTGCACGTTAAAGATATGTAATTATAAGTAATTATGGATAATTAATTATATCAATTAGGCGAACGTTTCAAACATCTTACAAGTTTATTTAATCATATTCAGATTGCAAAAATTTCTTTCTCTCCTTCTTTTATTTGGAAACGAAATTCAATTTATCAAAAGAATATTTTTTTTTTTATTATTAACGGCTAATTAAATGTATAAAGTTGAATACGTAAATATAGTGATTTGTAAATATTTTATTGAAATTGTACAAAGTGAAAAATATTAATGTACGAAGAGACAAGTTTTATCATCACTGATAGTTGTACTACATAATAAAATCTTTGCGAAACAATTACAAATCATAAGTATTATTACAATACACGATTTAAAATTGCACATTTTGTTTTTACAATATTTGTACACGAGTAGGCTTACCTATTTCCATCTTACAACATAATAAGAAAATAAAAAGAAAAAAAAAAAAGAAGAAAAGAAAAGGATTCTATGGTAATATCAAGATCAGTTATATCTACTAACGTACTAAATATAGATTGCTTCTTTAAAAAAGATTGCACGTTATATATAACATAATCTATTTTATACCTTTAACCTGAATTTACAATATAAAATTTGTATATAATTTTTTCTTCTATATTACAATATATGAATACACGTGACTATCTATTGTACATAGAAATTACTTTGGATATAAGATTAATTTTGTTGCTTTTTAAAGCATTAACACAGAAATAACGATCAAATCTTTCCCTGATTTTCACAATCTTCAAAATAAATAAGTCTTCCTATACAGTTACTGTACACACATTTAAATGTAAACAGTTCATTGAACAAATTTAAAACTTTTACACGATTAGTTACATTTTTTATAATTATCATTGATGCGAATACCTTTATCCAAATATGTATTTAGATGATAGAAGTTTACTTTCGAATTATAATTCTTCTAAAATATTCGTATTGTTTGCTCTTAACATTATCTAATATCAAAAAGTGAAATATACTTTGAACAAGATAACAATAACGTTTAAATCACAGTCTTCGCTGACGATAACGTTGCGTTAAAGAAATTAGAAACTGTACTACGAACGGCCATAAAATTAAAATACTGAATAACCGTGGTGAACATTCTTGTAAAGGCCACCATTTTGGATACGAAGGCGTTGTTGGTTGTTTCTAAAACATAATGCATTGTTTAATAAGGAAACATAATAAGAAAAAGAAAATAAAAATTTGATACAGTCTTAATTACATTAACTATTTGTGGCATCAATGCTTGTAGTGTTTGGCCTTCTAAGCTACGTACTCTGGCTGTTATTCTATCTAAGTCTCTTTGTAAATTTTGCATAGTCGTAGCTATTTGATTTAGAAATTCATCATTGGTTTTCTCGTCTTTTTTAGTACGCTGCTTGTTTTTGTCCTGTTTATTTTCTGTAACTGTCTCCGCGTAACCATTTGTATTAGTGTACCCATTGGTTAATTCTGAAAGATGATTTTCTTTCGACGTAATCGATTCGTTAACTTTATCGGTACTGCTGGTCAATCCGTTGGACATTTTTTGAGTACTACTTGAACCTCTTATCGTGTCCTTTTGCGATCGTTCTGGAGCAGACTAAGAAAGAAAGAAGATGAATTTTGGGCGCACAAGTTAAAAATAAAAATTCAACGGCTACTGCATATTCTCCATAATACCAGTAGCTTACTTCGACGGTGTCGATAAATTCTTCTTCTTCTCCATCGGTGTCGGGTGGGCTTACGCTATGGCTACTGGCTGGGCTAGTTTCTAAGCTACTAGCAATATGCCGAGACATATTACAAGCTCTATGCGGTGACGTTTCCCTAGATGCTGCATAAAAAAGAGGATGGACTATAAATAATTAAATGACCGTTTCGAAATTGCATGTATTTATTGTATACGTACTAACCTAGAGGCGAACCAGATAATGGTAAGTCGGGCTGTGAACGCATACGTTCTAACACGGGGCCAAGAAGTAATTCCAAATCTTCGGGCGGAACACTTTCACAAAATGTATCTAAACTGTCTAGAAATGTAGCTACTTTGTCCGTGTAAGACATTGTTTCTACGATCTATTAAATTAAGAGGTAAATGTTAAATAATTTTTGGACGTTATAATGTTCCGTTCGATTTAAAAAATTAACCTTTTTTAATTCTTCCACATAATTATTCATTGCCTCTGTTCTACTCATATTTCCCAAACGTGTCCAAGCATCCCATTTTGCCTTTTTAATCACTTCCCAGAATGCAGGCTTTGGTTGTTCGCACGGACCTTCTGTCGCTTGTTTATAATACGCGTAAAAACGTAGCATGACTTCGTTGCTAGGTTGATATGCTCCTAGAATATAAATATTTTATGTAAGCAAACAGGCTCGTACATCTGGAGAGAGATTCTGGTTGATAAAGGATTATTGTGCTTTAATAATTTTGCATAGGAGTAAAAGAATATTCGTTTTAATAATATCTTATGATATGTCCTATCGATCCTTTAATTAGGATTAGTACTTTATCGATTATGAAGTTCAAAGTGAGGAACAAAATTACCATAGGCTAAATACGAAAAATGATTAGAAAAAATTTATGAAATTGTTTCCGGATTAAAAATTTGAATGGTACAATTAACAAACACGTAGATATATTTGTGATCGCTCAATAGGAACATTTCAGCTTTAAATACAAAGTGCAATTCACTTATTCCTACTCTGTTAGAAAGTGAAATGAGAACACTCACACAGTTGCTTATAATAAATAGAAAGTATATACGTGTTCAGTTATGAATGCAATGATGTTATATTATATTATTTTTAATATAGTTCCCTGATATAATTATCAAGTTATACAATGTATTAAGCAGTTTCTATTCAACATTTATCGTCTACTATTCTTTTAAAATAGAAAGTTGAAATTTAGTATTACCATGATCATTAAAACTTGCATATCCTGTAAACAAATTGTACGTATATACTATGTATACAATCTCTACGTATAAAGAAGAAATCAGTTATTAAACGGTTCTTTTATATAAATTTTTATTAATTTCGTTTAAAATAATAGAACAGTTATGAGTCCAATATGCAAATAATATCAGGTAATATGTAAACGAAGATAGGAATGTACTGTTAAACGAACAACATCGTAAATTTATCTGATTTCGATGAAAAATGCGGATAAATATTTTGTTAAGTCAGACATGAACTTTGAACGATTGCTTCACGAGTAGTAGTTCATGTATGAATTTAGTCTCGTAAAAGCTTGCTGTTTTGCGTATTGCTAATTAAAAAAAACTAGCCTGACAAGTATTGTATGAATAAAATGTCGCAGGAACGTAGCGTATAATATCATATTGTATTAAAAATGTGTGCTGCATTGTACAACGTATCGAGGCAAGTTAACGATTGAACCCGTTTAAAAATGAAATCGAAAGACAGGAAGATCGAAGTAACATAAGTAAAACAATTATTAGAAAAGTTTACCATTTTTTGGTAGATTCCGGATCACATTAACAGCCGCCTGAAACTGTTCCTCCGTCGTCATGGTAAAATCAAGCAAAATCTGCAGTCTTTGAACAGACTACGTATTCACGCTCGCTTCGTTAGAGCGTTATCGCACCTCTTTTAATATCGATTATTACTTTCAAAGAATTCGATCGATATACTTTTTAACGAAACAATTTAAAAAGTTACTTGATCTCCGTTGTATTGGACGAGAAAAAAAAAAAAAAAACTGTTAAAAAGTCCACTACAATAAGGGAATGACAGATCACCGATTGATGACTGGCGATCGTCCGGCGATCATACATTCACAGTGGCGCATGCGCATTAAATGATAATTTGCCGTGGTTTGATCCCCTTCCTTCGTTTTCGCAAGCTTGTCGACAGTGGTCGCACTGTAGTTAGTGTTGCTCTATATGACACCTGTCTTGTTCGTATCGAATCGTATGTATAATTTTTAGCGCAAAAATCTGGTTTGCCCCCTGCAGAAAACAGCGACGAAAAAAAAGAGGTCGTTATCACGGTGCAGAAATAAAACATCGTGGTCCCTACCATAAGCTCTGGTACCGAAGCATCGGTGAGTATTGTATCTAACTGTCGAGAGACATTTTCAACACCTCCTCCTCTTAGGCGTAATTTTCCTTGAAGAAACCAGATTGTTCGTATCCATACATAAAGAATTGACAATTTTTAAGCTGTCGGGATAGGAATAACGATTTTTAATTGAATCATTGAGTCTTGACGGTTAGTTTTTAAACACGAGGTTACATAGATAGCTGTTTTTGTGCAATATCTATGTAAAGTTGCAAAGTTTCAAATATATTTGAACTGGTTTTTCTTGAAATCATGATGTTCTATTTATATAATTGTTGTAACAATTGTACGATATATTAAAATAAAATTTAATTCTTTGTAAGATTTCAGGGAACGGAGAGGAATTAAGAATGACGACTATAAGTCGTGGTCGGGGATGGATGCAGAACGACGAAAATCCATTACCCAGACCAGGAAGATCGTTCTGTTCGGAGGATGTTAATCATACAAATATCATTAACTTAATTAATACCGTAAACGATGAAAATTTAATAGAAAAAGCCGAAGCGATTGTAAAATTAGTCAACGACAAAACGAACGAACAGAATTTAGAGTAACGTATAAAAATTCGCTATCTTCTAGATAAGTTGAAAGCGTTTCAGATTCGTTAACTAACATAATCGATTGTAGGAATATACACAGAAAACTGTATAAACATGCTTTAAACGATAAGGAGTTGATCACCGATTGATGACTGGCGATCGTCCGGCGATCATACATTCACAGTGGCGCATGCGCATTAAATGATAATTTGCCGTGGTTTGATCCCCTTCCTTCGTTTTCGCAAGCTTGTCGACAGTGGTCGCACTGTAGTTAGTGTTGCTCTATATGACACCTGTCTTGTTCGTATCGAATCGTATGTATAATTTTTAGCGCAAAAATCTGGTTTGCCCCCTGCAGAAAACAGCGACGAAAAAAAAGAGGTCGTTATCACGGTGCAGAAATAAAACATCGTGGTCCCTACCATAAGCTCTGGTACCGAAGCATCGGTGAGTATTGTATCTAACTGTCGAGAGACATTTTCAACACCTCCTCCTCTTAGGCGTAATTTTCCTTGAAGAAACCAGATTGTTCGTATCCATACATAAAGAATTGACAATTTTTAAGCTGTCGGGATAGGAATAACGATTTTTAATTGAATCATTGAGTCTTGACGGTTAGTTTTTAAACACGAGGTTACATAGATAGCTGTTTTTGTGCAATATCTATGTAAAGTTGCAAAGTTTCAAATATATTTGAACTGGTTTTTCTTGAAATCATGATGTTCTATTTATATAATTGTTGTAACAATTGTACGATATATTAAAATAAAATTTAATTCTTTGTAAGATTTCAGGGAACGGAGAGGAATTAAGAATGACGACTATAAGTCGTGGTCGGGGATGGATGCAGAACGACGAAAATCCATTACCCAGACCAGGAAGATCGTTCTGTTCGGAGGATGTTAATCATACAAATATCATTAACTTAATTAATACCGTAAACGATGAAAATTTAATAGAAAAAGCCGAAGCGATTGTAAAATTAGTCAACGACAAAACGAACGAACAGAATTTAGAGTAACGTATAAAAATTCGCTATCTTCTAGATAAGTTGAAAGCGTTTCAGATTCGTTAACTAACATAATCGATTGTAGGAATATACACAGAAAACTGTATAAACATGCTTTAAACGATAAGGAGTTTGGTTCAAAATTGTTAAAGGTATATACTTGTACCGTGTTTAAAAGCGTGTACGATTCCGAAAAAAGAAGTTTCTACGGGCATTTAGTAGAATGTTTTCAAATTGATTACGAAAGTATGCGTCGTACGTATATAAATATATGTATATACATATATGTATATACATATATAAATATATGTATATACATATATTTTATTTGGCTTTTAATTCTGTTTTAAATTTAGGAAGGAAAGAGTTAAGGGACGAGAACGTAATGCAATTTTATAACGCTATTTCTTTATTTTCTGAATTCTTACGTTGCATCACAGGCCCGCATTTTTCCCGTATAGTACAATCAGCGTTATTGAATTACATGGAAATGTTGATAGAAACATCTTCGGCCGAAGATATAAAGATTTTTGCAGAACAGGTACGCGTTTGAACGAAATATATTTTGCTTTGTATTTTATTAAATTTACGTTTTGTTTTCAGGTGATCATACATGGAAAACATTTGTACAGTTCTTGCAAAGAAGAAACGGATAACTTGATGATTGCCGTAAGACAGAAGTTAATCAATGATAATATGTCTGTAACGTCTCGTCGAATTTTATTATACGTAATAGATTTAAGCAGTAGAAATTTCGACGTGCTTCCCGATAGCTTGCAGAAATTTTATAAATCTCAATTGGAAAACGATTTTAAGCAAGACGATAAACATATCATAATTAAATCGTTAACAAAAGCGAAAGATGGTAATCGCGAATAATATTGAATAGTTAGTAAATGCTTTTGTATTTGTTAAACGACGAATAAAAGTGTGAATTATAGAACATAATTGTTCGAAGTATGAGTCGAATAATGAGAAACAAGAACTCGTACTTGCAAAATGTGAAATTTTCAAAGATTCTGGTGCAACAGATGTTGAAAGTTTTGTGAGGAATATGAGAAGTGAAATAAAATAATGGACAACATAAAGAAAACAGTATCGTGATATGCGATGCGCCATGTAAACTTTGTATATTATGCGTATATCGTAAGTGTGTGTTGTGACATTAAATTGTATTTGTTATTCAAATTATTTAAGTAAAATTGTAACCTATGAAAAAGGTGATTAATTTTTACTTTTTAGTAAATTGGCAATTTACTTAAATAATCCCAGCTTATTACAGATTGCTCGTTATTTGTTATCAGTGTATCTCTTTTCTTTCTGGAATTATCATCCGTTTGCAATTCGTTTAGTCGTTAAAAGTTCAATTTTTGATAGTACTATATGTGATTAATGATTTGTTGTGCGATGTATAAAATTGGTATTTTTGGCGGGAAAGCAGTATTGCCGATATACCCCCTCGCGCGTTCTACTATCCTGATACCAAGAGCAATTTTTCGAGCCGCGCCGATTCCCCCACCGTGTAGCCTTATTTTCTCTTTGCGCGAACTATTTTGCGCACGCGTGCCACCTCTTTGCGTATCCTGCTGTACTAATACTCCTGATACCCTAATATCAACCGTATATAACGGAAGTTGGTAGCATAAGTAATTGATTTTTTCCAAGTAACCTCCTTACGCTTTCTGCTATTTTGCTGGCAGGAGTAGATTTTGGGATCGCAATTCGTATCTTCCTTCCCTTACTTTTTCTTTACGATATTCTTCAAGCTTTTATACATTTTATATTATTATGTTCAGATTCTTATATTCCTAAACAATCGATTACTTTACCGTTCCTATACTTTCTATAGCTTCTTGTACTTGCTGGTGTCATAGAGTTTTCTATTCATAACTCGTATTAAACTCTACGGGGATATGGTTTTTCGGTGATTATTCCTCCGTGGCATGCGCGGCCGGTGCGCAGGAGGAATATACACGATAATCACTATACAAAATCGTTAATTACTCGCTTTCTGAGCACACTCTATCAACTTTTATGATTAAAAAATGCTCACTGATTCCTTACCAATTTTCTCATATCACATATGTTCACATTTTTATTGTAAATAATTAGTTATTAATTAATATCCAACACGAAGTCGCCGGAATACATCGTACGTATGAGCTAATTTCAAATAATCAATAACACATTTTCCAAACACAATTTATGCACTCTTATTATAAAAGAATGTTCAGTGAACCCCCAGCTACTTTCTCGTACCACATTTGGTCAGATGTTTAACGAAATTAATTAGTTATTAACTAATAACCTAACGCCAGCCACGGTGACAAGCGCTATACACGAGGTCACTTTGAATAATTAATTACACTTTTTCTGGATATATTTCCTGCACTTTTATGATTGAAGAATGGCCAGCAATGCATTATTTAAATGGTTCGATCATAAAAGTACATAAATAATGTTCGGGTAAGGAGTAATTAATTATTTTGTGTCAGCATTGCGATACGTACACGAGCCGCCTATGTCAATTCTACTGCACATGCAAAGTGCAATATTTCGCCACTTTGACGACGCAGTATGGTTCCTGAGGCATTTAGAAACAAATTTTTATTAGGGTTTGATGCGTTTTGATGCCTAATAAAGCCAGGAAATCAATTTTTGTCGAATTCGGTCGAAAACGGTACAGGTGGCGCCATCTAGCGGCGAGCGGCGGAACTACGAAAAACTAAAATTTCGATTTTCTC